CAGCAGAAGACAAAGAAGAAATAGAGAAGGTAAATAAATAGAAAAATGGAAGATTAAAAATGATATACTGGAACGGGGGGAAAAAACAGAGCCACTAGACAAACATATTTCCATACAGCTCCTCTGCCAGTTTCCAGCAGACACCAGTACGAACAGAGGTCTCGTCTCCATTGATCATCTGTCTCCATCTCTTGACTTTACCCGGAGAAATTAGTTTTGGCCAGTGGGTAGTATATGGTTTTTGTCCGGTGAGTTGTATATGGTTTTGTCCATTGGGTTCTATATGGTTTTGTCCAGTGATTAATATACGGTTTTTATCCGGTGGATTGTACATAGTTGTGTCCGTGAAATGCTACCAGGTTCTCCTTGGTTTCGAGGACTCTGGCCATACTAGGTTAATTAGGCGATACTGTTTAAAGCAAGTCATAGACGGGAGGTGCTTGTACTAAAGTTCTCTCCTCAAGGTAATCAGGAACTCACCTCCTATTATGCCATTGTGATCACAGTTATCATAAACCAATTAAGATGACGTAAGCAAGAACTCACCACTTCTCACGTATAGACCGTTATTCTGTTAATTTACTGCATTCTACTCTATAAACCCAGAAGCTACGATGACAGCGCTCTGGACACACGGGTTTGTTCTGTCTTAAAGGGTTGGTGGAGCGTCATTCTGTTGTATGGTTGACCTCCAGCCATCAGCAGGGGCCTCAGCTAAGCTAACATTGCTAGAATAGAAGATGCGCCAAGCAACATTTCTGTCTTAGCTTTACATGTAGCTGAAGTAAATGACTCTCCTCGGGGTAACCGTAGGGTGAATAACAGCACCAACGTATGGTTAAACAGCTACATATTTTTTCGGTGACGTTTCAACAATATTTTTGTCATCATCAGATCTAAAGCATCAAATAATTAACAAGAGCATCAATAAAAGCAATGTACCATTGGGTACAATCAGTACTTTAATTAAATGAAATATCACAAACAACATTAAAACATTGAATTAGCAGCTACTAAAATTTATTACATTTAACAACACATAAAAACCCAGCGTAGCAGAAGTTGAGAACCTAATACCAAAGATGAAAACATGAAGGTAAGTAAATATGTTACAAACCAACAAGATCATTACACCAGTTAGAAGCTAAGTGGGTGGGTGCCCTGGACTGACTGGACTCTGTACGTATGTAATGTTCTTATCCCAAACAGCGTACAGCTAGAGTTGCCCCAGACAGGTATTAACGCTGATAAACTCATTAATAGTAATACACCTGTACATGACGGCCCTCCATTAACACAACTTACAGTCAACTGGTTATGATGAGTCGATAAATTTTTTTGTTTGTTTTTATTATCGTATATAGTATTGTCAGGTGAAGTGGAACGAAGGGAATTACTTGATCCTCTGTCCCGACGGAAATTTATGTAACTTGTACCAGACTTTGATGCAAAAACTGAGGTAAATCCAGAATAATTGTTGGGGAGACTCACAAAAATTATACAATGTCCACAAAAAGACTTACAGAAGACTGATAATGCTGAAAAATAAACTTCACATAACACTACACACAAACTGTATACGTAATACATTATATGATGACCAAAGATTACTGAACACTTCTTCTGGCTACTCTCTCTACCGCGTCCCGCCATCATGTTGTCTTGATTAAAGTTTTCTCTCTCTGCCAATGATTGTTCAGAGTGCCAAGCACGTTGTACACACTTTTTTTCTCCCGCGAGACTTGGTCAGCCAATCAATATTCCTCCTGTTGCCCCCCCCCCCCCGCCCATCTCGCTTACCCTGGGCAAGATACATATGGGGGCGTGTCATTTATCTCAGTGCCTGGGGTACCTGGTATAAAATCCTGAGGAACCATTGTCTCCACACCATTCGATGATTCAACGCCCTCCTACCTCGTCTCGGCTGTGGGTTCGTATATAGAACTTGAGGAACCTGTACACCAGTAGAGAAAGTGGTCCCGAAAACCTGGCCACTACCCGGTGAAGTGATTCATGCCACTAGCAGGTGAGGTGATTCAGAAGATCTGGCCACTAGCAGGTGAAGTGATTCAAAAGACCTGGTCACTAGCAGGTGAAGTGATTCACAAGACCTGGCCATTAGCAGGTGAAGTGATTCACAAGACCTGGCCATTAGCAGGTAAAGTGATTCACAAGACCTGCTTACCTGCAAGTGAAGTGATTAACAAGACCTAGTCACTAGCAGGTGAAGTGATTCAGAAGACCTGGCCTCTAGCAGGTGATGTGATTCACAAGACCTGCTTGCCTGCAAGTGAAGTGATTCACAAGACCTGACCTCTAGTAGATGACCCGAATAAAAAGTGGCTCGGTGTTGTATTCTGCGGGTAAGCAACAAGTGAGTTCAAATCTTTCTTTTAAACCCTCGAGTGTGAGAGACTGTCCACAACCATCGGTATACAAATAGAACCAATAATTAAAGACACTGCGATATTTATTCACGATCGTAAATGACGTTTTAAAAACTTAATGAACTTGGATTACAACCTTTATCTCTTAGTATTATAAAAGGCTTCTATAAGCCTCCATCTCTCTCTGGTCTCGAGTTATGACCGGAAACATGATTCTGACTTGTCTGTGATCTGGAATTTAGTCTTTTATATTTTATATTTTACTGACATTTTAAAGCTTTAAAAAACGATCACTCCCTACAAAAAAAGGCAAAGTTAATGTAGGTTTATCATTAAAAATGTCATTTTTAACTTTTATCATGAACTAAAAAAATATCAAAAATTTGATCGTGTCTGAAGTGTGATTCGAGCCGTAACACAACTTGTCGTGTATGTGACCTCAATAATTAACGAAATGTCGCCTGAGAGGTCACACGTTCTACACCATCAAAAAATACCCTCGACCTTGTCCAAAAACAGCGCAAGCAATGAATTAACAACTTTTAAAATAACCTTCGAACACGGTACCTCCCCTCAGCTGCCAGAGGAGATTAAAAAAAAAAAAAAAATCCCCTTCCACGTATTAGTGTGTTAGTGACTGGGTATGAAAGCGGCCATTACATTGCAAAGATCCGCCAGTTTATACCAAGTTACCATTCCCACGTACTGTACCTTTCTGCTGTGACTGAATTAGAAAGTTATATAGTATTTATATCATACAAGATAACGTTTTTGTCCTGAGATATTAAAGAATCCCGACTTGATTATCTTGTATATTTCATGTACCGCACTGTAGTCGTTTAGTACACAAGGAGGAGCGAAAGGTTTGCTGAAAAGTGTCAGTATTGATGTGGTGTCTGATAATGGTAATAGGCCTATTGTGTAATCATTATACGAAACTCCACTTGTCGCCGTACATAATATTTATACCTTGTTCAAAGTTTTTAATTAGTCGATATTATTTTATGCATAAGCAATGATTCGTTACACTAGTAAACTATCAAGTCATTTCATATTGTCGTATGTTAACATTTTCTATTATAAACCTGAACAAAGGCGATAATTATGATCTCCGACTAACAGTAATGAGAGGTGGAGTGAAACACACCAAGACTTAACTTATAACATTATGTCCTTTTATGTAGTCATGGACAAGTGTACTGTACCGCTACCAGCCACAATGTGAAGCCGATACTCCTGATGGTCAAACACCACAGCACCAGAAGAAAGTCTCTTTTTTTACCCAAGAGATGGCGCACCGTGTATGAGGAGGACTGGAACTGTTATACAAGGCACTGGTTGGTCTGGTCCTCTAGTAATATTAAGAGGTTATTCCACACACACACTACTCTACCAACATTTTCATTAATGACCTCGTATATAAGGAAATGATTCACACGCTCTTATAAACGGTCTGGACAGAAACAGGTGTCAAGGGTTAGCTTATAAAAAATATGAATAATTTATTATTGAAGGGTGGTTATATCTTCAACAGTTTGCATAAAGCAGAGTGAGTAGAGTTGGAAAATGGTAGCATGGTGTCTGCATATATTGCGACATTATCTTATTTAAACAATGTATTTGCCTTAACATATAAATAATATAAATTTAACATTGATTTTGGATTATATAAGGATGTGTTTACCCTCAAGATAACAAAAATTAATTATTAAATCCATTCAATATTTAGGGATCAATACACAACACGTTTCGATACTTCATTATAAATTTATACTACTTTATTTCAGTAAGTCCTGAAGTCTGTAATACTGCTAAGGTTATATCATCACAAAGAAAAGTGTCTGGCTGTGAACTGATTATCGGATTTGACTAGTAAGTAATACTAGATCCAGCTTCATTGAACATCGACCATTTCACTTACTCTCCTGGGAAGGGATTCGACTAACGTGAGATAGTAGAGGTAAGGAAGCCGCCCCCCACCCCCTATGCCTTTTGTTCAATGCCATTACTTACACGAGCATTTCGTCACTCAGAAGGTAGAATCTAATTAAAATGCATATATTATATTACTGTAATAAGTTGATTTATACCGTCATGTAAAAAAGTCTTTATTGGTGAGTCTTATGAACTCTCATCCCCTTGCTGCGATCTCTCTCTCTCTCTCTCTCTCTCTCTCTCTCTCTCTCTCTTATCACCTTAATTTCCTTAATAGATCACACCTCTTCTCAACATATTTAACTGTTGCGTGCTTCATCTTCTGTACTTCTCAAACTCTGATACACACACACACACACACTCACGTATATACAGTACTAAGTGAACTTAGCGAAATTTTCATCTCGTATTAATAGCAGCATATGCTTTGATGTTTGGATACGATTTTAATACACATCATTTAGTACTATTTAATTTATTATTTTGTAGGCCTTGGTTGTGTCCACCGAGTAAGAGGAAGGCACCGCATGTTGGGAGAACACTGAACAGTACCTCGTGTGTGTTGGAGGAGCAGAAGTACAACGCCCCAGCAGGATGGTGGCGGGAGGACTGGTGGCCGCCATGCGGTCCATCACCGTAGAACCTATCATGCTCCTCGACGGGGCGTGCAAGGAGGCCATGCTCATCTTTATCGAGAATGTCCACATGAACAAAATATGCTCCGTCAACTTGGGTCTCTCACCAGAGGTAAGTGTTCCAACTGTGTCAGGAAGTCTTGATAAAAGCCTGATTACATCCTCGTGGACTCAGTGCTGATGCAGGTCCTATACTAGTAATTTATCTCCGAGAGATCACACACACAAGCCACCGGTCACAGAAAGCTAACATGCTAAGGCGCTGGCAATAAGCCTGACGTGACAATCATAAAATTTCCGAATAAGGGAAGTAATTATATGTGCAATGATTCTTTAATACGAAAACTTCAGGAATCAAAAATAACATTTCTATCTTGTACTGTTAGTGTTACCATAAACGAGTAAGGTTCACTGTGGAGACAATCGCCCGATTAAGCATTTTTTTTTGCAATATATTGATAGGAATCATTTCATACTACATCTTGAATAAGATGTTTCATTAGTTCATCGATCTCAGTAGTGTATCATCAGCTCCACTTCATAGGTTAGGTTAGGTTAAAGTGCCCCGACTGACACCTGCATCATCTTTCTGCCATCTCTATAAAGCCTCATTAATTTTGCCTCGTTGCATGTCAGTACAGTTTGTCCAGTAGTTCCTTGAAATGGTGTTAATACACATATAATTTATCAGTTTAGGTCTTCAGGTTTGTTATTCACATCATCAGTAAACAATAGTGTGTCTACATTTATTTAGTCACATCATATATCTGGTCCCTTCACACTAGCTCTATAATTAAACTGGGTGTCCTCGCAGATTTGCGCCAACCTGACAAACCACAAAGAGGAGAGTGTGCTCGTCCAGCGAGAGTTCTCCCTCTTCACCTTCTACAACAGCATCATCATGTCGGTGCTGCCTCTCATCTTCGTGCTCTTCATGGGCGCCTGGAGTGATAAATACGGCCGTAAGGTGAGTAAGGGACACAGCCAGTCAGGGCATCACATTCCCGTAACAAGATGGAATTTGTTTTGTTATCTTTACTCCTTTTACGTTTATTGTCATGAAGAACTTTTATTAATGTCTTTAACATTATTCTGTTATTCTACTTAATGTTATTGTGGACAGTTTCCACTGCTGATGACGCTGGTGGGTCATGCGATGTTTGCCGGGGGTTACCTGTTGGCCAACTGGCAGACCAGCTGGCCCGTGGAGGTGCTCTACCTGGTGACAATATTGGAGGCCCTGGGAGGAGCCAACGTAGGTATCCTCTCCTCCACCATCAGCTACATCAGCGACATCTCCAGCGAGAAGCAACGGACGTCTCGTATCGGCACCATTAACTCCATGTGGTATCTGGGAACTCCACTTGGTACGCTGACTGGCGCTCTTATCATCAAGTACAGCGGCTACGACATGGCTCTGGGCCTCGTGCTACTCGCCTATGTCGCCTCTATTGTTTACGTCATTGTATTCATCGAGGAGAGCCACGGACCCTTCGCCAAGAAGGCGCTGCAGGCGCAGGGCTCACTCAAGGGCAAGCCCACATTAGATAAAAAGGACGTAAGAGCCATCACCATGTTTACCGACTTCTTCAACTGGCGACACGTGGTGGAGTCCTTCAAGACGGCGTTCAGGAAGCGTGAGGGTAACAACCAGGGTCTCTTATTAGCTGTCATCATCGGCAACATGATTCGTCGTATGGCCAGAGGTAACCGTCTGTCCATCACCTCTCTGTAAAGCCCTTGTTTATGCTACTACATTTCATTACTTCTAGAATCTGAACACACATAATATCCCGGCAAACTGTACTCTGTATATGAGTTGAAACATTAACTTTAAACCTCTAACGTTTTGCTTCTGTCGCAGGGTTCTTCATGTACATGTTTGTGCGTCGCGCCTTGCACTGGGGGGCCACCGACTACGGCTACTGGATCTCATACCGCAGCATGTTGACTGCCCTCGGTGCGTTAACTCTTGTTGGCTCTTATTCATTACACATCTTACAAATACCCACACATTGCTAGATTTCCAAGTTATGTTCAATTAAAAAACAAAACAATGGCAACTGGTTCTGCCTTAGACACGAGGTCAACAGTTTAGCAAAATAAACACAAACCTCACACCTTTTTAGACAAACCAAGTTATTTTTACTTTATTCACAGCTTTCTTTACAAAATATCAAGTAGATTTTACTCAACCTTTAATCGCATGCAGATATTGCACGTTAGTATGTGCAGTCACAAGGATTTGTTCATATGATATGTCTTCAGGTTCGCTGTTCCTGGTGCCGTTCCTGTCGCGGTTGTTGTCGGTCACGGATGTGTCATTGGTGGTGATGGGGACTGTGTCCATGATCTGTGAGTACGTGAGCTACGGGCTGGTGATCGGGCCCCCTCAGACCTTCCTCATGTGGCTGGGGCCGCCTACAGGTATCATCTCCAACGCTATGGCCATCTCCTTCAGATCTATGTCCACCAAACTCGTCACCGATGAGGAGAAAGGTGAGCACATTAGTCCACTCTGTTTCCAGTAGCCAGGTTAACATGTTTCCTTTACAGTTACCAAGACATCTTCTAGTGTACTCTAATATAAAGAAATTATGCAGGAGCGTCTGGGCAACTATCCATACCAGCAGGCTTTCCTCCATAAGGGTGTTCAGTATAAATGGTCCATTATGGCATCCCGACGTATAATGCAGGTTAAGCTCACTGGCCTGTAACTATACGTTTAATGGAGAAAGCCCCTTTTGAATGACAGAACTCAAACTAATTTTCAGTCATCAGGGATCTTTTATTCGTCAATACATCTGCAGAACAAGATACTACATGAGTTGTGAGAAGTACACTATCAGGGTCTGAATTTTGATGTACTGTACCACGCCTTAAGAAAACTTTGTGTTAATACACTCCTCTCAGAACTGTACAAACCTCAGTGCTGTACCCCACTGCATCTCTTCAAAGCTCGGTTAGTGATTTACATCTATTCTTGTCAACACTTAGGAAGTCTTTTAAATCTTACTTGGTCATGAGCTGAGTCCACATAAGTACCACCATCAAGGAGTCACCAACATGATTCTTTAATTTTTATTTGAGAAACAATGTAAGGCTTTGGGGGGGGGGGTGTTGGCTGGACCGCGGGTATGATTCACCTCTGGAACTCTTTCTGCTCTTCTACACTCTGACTGATTTCTGAAGCGAGCATAGTCATGTCCTCCTCGTCAATAGAGGCCGCTTGATTCACGTATAAAGATATTCGGGTTGTTCTTGAAATAATGAGCTTGGTTTTGGTTGTATAGTTTACCATCGAATATTTAATCTCACTATCTACAATTTTCAAGGAATAATCTACTATATTAAAATCTTGGTCTCCTCTCGTCATGTACCAAGGAATAGTTAAATCTGAAGGACAATATCACGACTTAGGCCAATGAATGTTTCAGGTTGGCCAACATTCCTTCTCGTTGGCTAGAATGATACTCAGTGTTTGTTCATCTTTATTATAACTGCATACAAGCCGACACACGCCAGCTAATAGTGGTGATGAACTTTGGCAGTCATAGTCATTGCAGACTTTTCTTTCTGGAACTTTTACTTATCGATTATTAAAGGGAGAAAAGTGAATTCCATCCAGGTAACATTGTCTAGCTATGTACCCAACTTGTTGATCCCTTGAGTATGGTGAAAGAAATTTGAGTACAGTTACTGAATCTCTTGAGTACAATGATAACTCCCTTAAGGGGATCACCCAGTTGTTAAACTTTTTTACGGATGGATTGATATTAAATTTTAACACTGTATATAGAATCACCCAACAGTGAATCTAGTAAAATTTCAACAAATTCGGGGGATAAGTTTCTTTGTTATTAATATTTTTGTGTTATTCTATTCAGTTTTATAATCAAAATACAGCAAAAACTATCGATGGAAATTATTTGCGCTTTTAGTGATACAAAAAGCATGAATTGGTCATATTTCAATACTATAACCAAACATTTATACTCATTCTATTACAAAAAAAAAAACAGAAGCAAAAATCCCATAAAAATCCTCCAAAATTTTTGCCATTTCCATCTAACTTGGTGTAGTCATTTTTAAGAGTTGCACATTGATTCTAGTAGTAAAAATTTTCTTCTCATTGGTTAATCCAATAATGTTTAAAAATTAAATCTTGCCCAAGAACTTTGGGAGTTATTCCCAATTTTATGTGCAAAATATTAGTTTTGATCAACAAGTTTTTCAGCTACTGCAACACAAATGTGCTCCCACCAACCAGCAGGCTGTAGGCTGAGGAAACAGTTGTCAGATGAGGCTTTTCTTAGTTTCCATAAAAAATACAGGATATAATAATAAAACATGATTTCTTCTGCTCTGATTATGAAAATAACAGAAAACGAGAATCACACTACACCAAACGAGAAAAAACGGGGTTGGGGTTTCTTAAGAGTTTTTTTTAGGGTAGAAAATATTACCTTACATCGTTCATACTTGGCAGGGTTGTAGCTGAAGGCTGCCAGATTCCTAATATTTTTCAGAAAATCCGATTTTTCATCGCTTTTCGATCGTTCAGAGCTGGATGATCCCCTTAAATATAACATTATACTCAAGATCCAAAGGTTCTGTCTGCTGTATCACTTGTAAACAAGGATTGTGATTACATAATTATATGTATAATGCAGGCCTGAGAGGCATACACAATGTTAGTATGTGTGTTACTCACAGACAAGTAGCAAATTTGTCTGACACTGGTATATTTCAAGTACTAAGAGTTGCATTCACATTAAGTTTTCATCCCTATTATTCTGTTAATTCCTGTTAATATGTTGACAGGACGCATCAATGCCATGATGGCGGCTCTCAACGGCCTGATGCCCATGTTGGGTTATGCGTGCTACTCCCCGATCTACTACAACACCGTCGACGTGTTGCCCGCTGCCCAGTTCTTCTTTGCTGCCGGGCTTACCGCCATTATCATGATTCTCTTCATGTAAGCCAGGTTTTGTCCTCATTACTGATATTAATGATCATAATAAGACAATATGCAACAACATAAAGGATTCAGTTGATAAACAACATTATCAGCACTATCATTCCTTTTGTCTCTAATGACAGACATTTGTGTGTCAACTATAATTTTCTTTGCCTTTCCAGTATAATACAAGTGCGTCAATCTTCGTCGATCAGCCCTGAGGACCTGGAAGTGGCCCCGGAAAAAGAATATAAAGACGGACCAAGGATCTTTAAGATCTTTTCTCTCAGTCGTTCTTTTAATCTAGGAGAAAGTCAGGATTCTTCCAAGTGCAAGGACTCATCCACAATCAAACATGTGTCTTACATCAAGAAAAATCCAAAAGATAATAATCCGAGTTTGTCTCCAGTACCCATGGAGTGTTACTTATTCGGCTCGAAGTTCACAACAGGAGCCAAAATCAGTCCAGGTGTTAAGGGATCTATGAAAAAGAAAAATTCTGACGTAGATGATCCTTCAGCCAAAATTGGTCAGTTTACACCGAGGGCCAACCAGCAAGAAACCAAAGAAGAGCGGCCACCAGGCATATGGTTCAGAGGAGACCAGAAGGCAGCGGGATGTTATAGCAGCAAATTTACTGATGCGGAGATCACTGCGTCAGAAAAAAGACAGTGGAATAAGTTTCCCTGGATGAAGACGCGAGAGATCTCTCCCTGCCGTCCCTCATTATCACACACAGGAGGCTGGTCTTAGTGGTAGTGCATAACGTTCTTATTCATCCTATTTTTTTTTTAATTTAGTGATGTAAATGCATACCTAATCTTTACCGACGGTGTATGAGTGACCAATGTTAAAAAACAATCGCATGTTTATAACGTTTGACGATGGTTGATCCTTGGAGACCCAAACGTCAGAAAACACAGAACAAGTTTTCCTTGGCTGTATATATTTTCTCCTATTGATCCTCATCTAGTTACAACTTCATGAATTTACATACTGTGAGATTTAACTTTCACCAATCTAACTGCAAATAGAAATTGTGTATCTCCACTTCCCTGGAGGGTCGGGTGTGTCGTTAAAAGTAGCACGAAAAATGTAAATATGGTTATATAGCACTAAGTAGAACCTGCAATTGTTCTTTACTCTACAGAAAGTACTCGATTATTAAGTAGTTTAAATGATCATGTACATAATAGCGCGAACAAGTTGACAAAAGAAGTGAATATCAACAACCCGCTGAGTTACGAGTAATTCAGAAACTTTGATTTAGGCATAATGTGAGAAAATTTTTCTCCTAAACTAAGAATTGTTTACTTACCAAAAATTATTAGAAAACTACCACATGGTAAATCAGTAAAATTACCAAATATAAATAATTCAACTATTTCAGTTCCGGAAAGAACCATATAAAGCTTATGTATTTCCCAGGTAAACGGCCTACTGACTGAATAAGACGCTAGGAGTTACGTCTCCCCCACGCCACCATAGCACACCTCCTGTAACGTTAGAATCTAAAGTTATAAGAGGTGTTTACAGGGGTTCGTCATATAAACATTCCACAAACCATTACTTTCATATATATTTTTTAATATTTTTTTTTTGCTTTGATTCCATAGTATGTTTATTTTTGCGAGTTTCTTTCTGTCGAATGTAAATAAACACAGGGCTGCCACACTGC